CCGCTTGCGGCTTTAATTTTTGTTGGGATTCAATCTCTAATATGTAAAATACTCCAATAAAATCACACCATAAATAACACTATGGGGGTTTAACCCCATTATCTAAACTTGTGAGATTAATTTTGTAACAGGAATTATAATATTTTTTGCTGGAAAGCACTTTGGCACAACAGTGACAAAACTGGACAAATATAAAAACATTAAGGCAGTAGTGCAGACTGAAGCCAAGTCTATACATCTTACTAAATCTGGTATGTTCATTTTTTCCCCCAAATCATTTCAACTGTTATTTAGCTTTTTAACAAAGATGCGAGCTATCAAAAGGACTTTTGAGTTTCAGTAAAATTCATTTTAAGCAAGTCTCAGCACTGGGCAGTCATCTTGGTAACGTCATTTCAGGCTTACAGTGCCAGGCTCCTATCTGAACGAATCAGTAGAGAGCCATAACCGATCATTTCAAGGTCACTGGGACATAAAAATAGCTTATATAGAGTCACTAGTCAAATCAGATAAACGCACATTAAAGTTTGGGGACTTTGCCCCAAAGTAAGACTTGAAAGGCGCTTTCTCCTGCAGGTTGTTGTTCTACGACGCGTGCACACAGTTTTATGACGCTTTGCTTACATTGGTGCAACAACACAATTGGCTGAATGCTTCCTGTTTGGCTACAACAAAGCTGATGATTGGCTGTCTGGGGAGAGGAGCGGGACATGCATCAGTCAGCTTTGGTGTTACAGAATTCCCCCCCGTATACACTCGTGACTCGATAATCCGACCCTTGACAATCCGACAGCTTTGCTATCTGACACAAAAGAAGGTTTTACATTTTGTGTCGAATTATCGAGTCACGACTGTATTTCTATTCACGATTCTTTACGTCATAACTTAACGTCTGGGGGTTTTTTTCTCTAAATTTTATATTTTTATGATGTTAAGGCCAAACATCGACTTCTGACCCTAAAAAGCCAAACTCAAATTGTATGTTCTTTGCAAACTTTCAGATAAAATTCAACTTTATTGGCATTGCACAGAGTATGACGAAAAGCAGTTGTCGCATATCAGAACCTGGGCCAGAACGCTGAGCCCTAAGTAGCCCAAAGCCTTCATCACCGAGCCACCGCTACCCTTTATAAGCTCTCAGGACCAACTGGAAAGGCTTTTTACTGCAAAAATTGAAAACACTTCAACGCTGTCAGCAGGATTCAAACCTGCCCAGGAGGACCCCAATGGATTTCTAGTCCATCGCCTGAACCACTCAGCCTCCACAACTCAGCTCCAGCTTCATCTCTGGGTAATAGAGCTAGTTAGTGGACATGGAGTTGGAAATCTTTCTTTCTTTTTCTGTGTTTAGACTTCATAGGATTGGATTCAGACACAGGGAATGCAGTGTGGCTCTGAAATGTGATGAAAGCTGTTTACCCAATCTCAAAGTTGTTTATTTTTAAAATTCTTGTTTAAAAATCTGCATAAAATTACGTGTGACACTTCTAGAACTGTTTGTGAGTGCATGTTTACTGGTCAGTCGGTTACACTGATTTATAATTTCCCTGTTTGTGTAACAGGCCCAGACTGACCCAACAACAGTGAAGATGTTGGTGTATCTCCTGCATTATTTTCCTTTTTTTTTGCTCGTCTTCTCATCCACTAATTACTCGATCTCGATGCCCCGATAAACTCCTCCCCTCAGAGCCGCTGCGACTTCGCTCACTGGTTCAACCATCATTGATAAATTATGAAGCAGTTCATGTTTTTCTCTTCGCCGACTTGTTCATCCACATCTCCCTCTCGGGCCCACCCTGCCTCATCAATGATTTAAACGATTAAGAAGGTGGAAATAATAAGAAAGTCGATTAGCTTTGATTATGCAGGAGAATTAAGCAAAAACATTTATGGTGGCACTCGGCCTGGACGGATGTGGCTCTGCATCGGGACGCTGTGATTAGTGCGACGGCAGGATGGAGGAGAGCACTAAGCTGTTATGTCATTCCGGGTTGAGATTGATGTGGAAATGTGGCATCTGAGCTCTCTATCAGACGCTGTGTTTTATGTCTCTTGTGTGCACACTTTTATCTGTGCTGCATTTCCATTTTTATCAACTGCTATAACACATGCCTGGTGTAGCCGACGGTATGGAAATATTTTCCATGAATAAATTCAGGTTTTGATGGCAGGTTACCTCTGCTGCGTGTGATTAGCACATCCAGAGCTATACAATAGGCTCTGGCAGCCATACTGTATTCCTCCCTCTGGAAATGGAAGTTTCCTCGCTCTCGTTTCTGGTTGCCGATGCGAATGCGGTCTGCGATGGGCAGAGTTAGCGGGTCTGGTTTCTCTCTGATGTCCAGCAGCTGCAGCTGGTAGAGTAAAGGAGCCCAGGCTGGAATATCGGGCTCTCTGCACACAAACAAACACAAAGAAAAGCACACATGGAACATCATCACAGGCTGAATGAGTGCCACATCTAAGAGTTATAAGTTATAAGAGTTATACATAATTTCAGGAAGATCAGTCCACTATGCATGAAATCTGAGTCACAGCTAAAATAAAGTGTTCAGGCTGTCATATTTGTGACACAATATATCTACTTGGATTCACACTACAAACAAACTGCTTTGATGAACACAACAGTCACACCATCAATCGCTGCCGGCAGTCTTCTGTGTAGCTTCTAACCTTCTGCTGCCGCTCTATGAAGCCGCATCACTTCACTGCTCCTGCTGTTTCTTTAACATAGAAACTCCAACAAGAACGAAACCACATCAGCTTTGTTCTCACAGTCATCACAGGCAAACACACAGCACTGGAAACTATGTTTTCCACTAATTCTATTCAGATGCAAATACAGAACCGATTCCACCAAAGATAGGTTCATCCATTTGCTATGTTTTTATCAAAAACTAAAACATCCTGAGCAGCTAAGTTCTCAGAATTGGTGACTCTACTGAGCAGCATAGCGTCTGTTTTAATTAGAAGTTTGAACTCTCTGATCAGGACAAATTTGAGAGACGTGACTCAATTCATAGAAAGCAACAAACAACAGCATTTATGATGGTATATTTGTGGGGTTTTTTTTAGGCTCTGGCCGCTGCTCTCTCTATCCAACAGCTCACACATGTTAAACGCAGCACTTTTAAAGAAGTCTGAGCGACTACGGTTCATTTAAGCAGACAAGAATTTGAAACTGGTATGAACCCGTGAGCCGTCGATGGCTTCAGCTTACTCAAGAGTCACTCAGAAGGAAAGTTAATTTGGTTTTCAATCATCTGCCTCCTGTGACCACATGACACACAATGGTCCATTATCAGCTTCTCCGCGGAGGCTCTGATTCCAAAGGTGTGTGTGTGTGTGTGTGTGTGTGTGTGTGTGTGTGTGTGAGAGAGAGAGAGAGAGAGAGAGAGAGAGAGGGGAGGGAATTAATGCAAAGACAGCTTGACTACATTTTGAAAAGATCATTTTGAAGTGGGCTACTTTACTGATTGAAACAAGACAAAAATACAACAACAAAAAAAAAGCCCACTTATTCATTTTAATACTAAAAAGCCGACTCCTTCAGCTTTCAAAGGGACCCTGTGTGTTTATTGAACTCAGCAAAACAAAGATCTGAAACCAAGTCAGACAGAAGGAAGTACGGCTTCCTGGTGACCCCCACCCACTCTCTGTTTGCTGCAAAGTGATAGTACTGGGAGTTGTGTCGGGTCATGAATTATTCAAACTGGTTGTGTCAATGACACAATTTATGTTTGTCTAACAGAATTAGTCGTATCCCCAGTTACTGCGGGGCTGTGTCAGCAGGTGGGATCAGATTACCCTTTCACCTCTCCTCTCTGGAGACCTCATCTACGATCACAGGACGTACAGGAGTGTGAAACCTGCAGCTGAGCCGAGGTCTCAGAAACCCGAGCTGGAAGCGGTGTTCAGAGACGTTATCGTTCCGGGCTGTAAATAAGTAGATGCAGGTCGTTTTCGAGTGTTTTTCGTCGGCATTGTTCAAGCATTATACTGCATGTTTATGAGGATCAAAGAGCCCGATTGTGTAACAGGTGTTTAAGAGCAGCGGAGAAGAAGAAGACAGTGGATTAATTCATGAGGAACGTGCAGCTCTTGGCTTGTGTTGCGGTCGGTCCTCGTAAAACGGGCCTCATACATCTAAACACATCCTTTTTTTTCTGGCTGGCTCGCTAAGAATATGACACCATCACAAAATGAGCGGCGTATGAACACACTGTGGCTGTTTGTTGCCCTCGCATACTTTTCTCAACTCTTATCTGGAAATATTACACAATATTCCCGGCTGCGTGTTATGTAACAGTGTACGGCATATAACAATAACACACACAGTGTCCTGTATACGCTGACCCACTAGTGCCTGGATCCAGATTAAATGGGCTCCTGTGAATTCACCCCTGAACCCGCCGCTGAGGAAGCCTGTAGTTTATAAGTCAGTGAGTAAACAGTCGAGCAAACTGAAAGCTCATTCAGCTGCATCATTATGAAGACCTTAAAACGTGTCCACATTCAGTCTGATTAGTTTGTCGGAACAGACGCGGTGGAGTAAGAAGTGTGGGTTTGTTGTTAGTGTGGCTATTAATTTATGTAACAGTTCGGATAATGAACTTAAAACTGTGTGGAATTAACCCTTAACTCACTCTATTTACAGTGTTTAAAAAAAATGCTGGCACTTTAAGTACAAGCTCTCATAAAGCAGTTTATAAATACTCCACAAGTAGAAAAGAAGTAAGAAAAAGTATGTCAGGACTAACAACAAAATGTACTTCAAGTATTGAAACTAAAATTGCCTAATATGGGAAAAAAAACAAACCCTCTGTGGCTGCTATACAATTACATTGAATATAATTACGAATACATGCTGCTTGTCCACGGTGTCCACAGCTGTCTATGTGCACATCTGCAAATGAGTATAATTAAGGTTTAACTAGCATTGTGCTCCTGTGGTTGGTCACGGTGGAGCAAATTTAAATATTTTATTGTGAAGTGAAAAATACAATGATGTAGCACAGTATGGAGCGCAGACACTAAAATGAAGAACTTAAACACAACTGATCTGAGGTTGAAGATAGGACAACAAAGATCTGTGTATTTTATTCTTACACTCTAGTTAATTATTTACTTAGACCTGCAGCGCTTGGCGTTTGCGTCCCCCTTCAGGCAGTGAGAGGAATTACACAAACAGCGTTCATGTGTGATTTCGACGTATATTTCTTGCCGTTGATCGATTTTTTTAAAGACTGTAGTCCTGCCTCTGAATGCTTCTGTTTTAGCATCAGAAACATTTCATGGATACCTTCTAGGGTTCTCCACTATACTTGCTGTCACTAAGACTGCCTGATGGTAGTTGATGTAAAATGCAGCAGTGTGGGAATGTCGCCACAGACATCAGATTGAAAAACTCCAGCACCCTGCAAAATACAGAAAGATTTACCCGATTGGCTTTATCAGCAACTCTTTTGTTCAGGGTTTGAAAATAACAGTTTTTTTCTAAGTATGTAACAATTGCAGCGTTAACCGGATTCTTGACTGTATAAAGTTTTAGTTTGAATTTCATTTACTAGCTTTTGTCCCTTCCCATCAATCTCCATCGAGTGGGACTGTAAAGTAGCACCAAAATGGAAACGCTCAAGCACATTTACCGAAATTTAGTCCTTAAGTACATCTTAAAGTGAGGATCGTTTTGTGTCACTAGTGGTGCAAGATTGTATTTCTTTGGAGATTTTTTTGGGCTATACACTATATGCTGATTATATAATGATTCTGCACACATGAGCATATGTCAAGCATCTGTTGGTTCTACGCCACACCAGAATTGTTTATGATGTGTATTTAGCTTTTAAGCAGATTTACTGGATGTCACACTCCAGACAGGAAGACAGAACAAAATGATTATACTGTCACAATATCATCCAACTGGCTTGCAAAGAGATCTGAATCATGAGCTAAACAGTGTTTGCTTTGTAAATAACCGAGCAGTAAACCCGTCATGTCATTAGGTATTGATTTTTTTTTAAAGAAACAGAGGAACCCACTTTGCTGCTCATGACTCACGCAGAATAAGACGCATTATTTGAGAAGTGATGAGTCATTCCTTTTTAATCGATGCAGGCAGCTGCTTCGGCGCTAACAGTGACGGCTAAATGCGCCACATCGACACCCAATGAATCCCAAACGACGTGTTGTCCTGCGAATGAAGCAGACGTCACGCAGGCTGCTCACAGCCCGATGAAAAGGCTTCAACAGGTGAGATCTCATTAGGCTTAGAGAAACACCACAGAACACCAGGTTTAATGTGTGAAACAATGAGGAACAACGCGAGTAGCCGAGAGTTCAGTTGCCATCGTGAGCATTAAACAAAATCGGCATGACCGGCCGACTGATGAGTGTAATCTGAGGACGTAGCGTGCTGACAGATCTATAAGGTTTACGGTGTCATGTGGGTCACTGGTGATTAGCACCACACCACTGTGCTGCTGCGCTGAGCTCAACCAACGAGTCCCCGGAGTCTTATTAGTGCAAACAGGAAGCAGAGGCTGGTCAGCGGGGCGAGATCTCTCCGCGAGATCTCGGCGAAACCCGAACCTGCAACTAAAACCCAGGTCAGAGCCCGATAACGCAGGTCTCCCCGGGCCTCCCTGCTGCTGCTGCTCTTCAAGAAACTCTGATCGCACAGGGGAAATTAATGTTGTGTAATTGGGCGGCAGTCGTTGTTCTTTCTGTAAAGCTAAACTGAGATTTAATGGGAGTCCACGGTCATGCTCAAGGTTCTGTCACACTGTAATTACGCCTCATTCAAGCAGCTTTGGCCAAATAGGAAGAAAATTTCCTTGTTCCAGCGTGGGAGTACACATGCATCATTCCAAGATGGTTACTTCTAGCTTTGTAGCCATGCCATTATGTGCTCCAAATTAGCTAGTTTTGTTATGTTTTTGGATTGGTGGAGACCAATTTAACAAATAGCAGATGTCGGACCTGTCAGAAATTCTGCTCTGACTGTTTTGGCGTTTTACCTAAAGTCAGACATAAATGTTTTGTGTTTTTTTCCCAGCCTGTAATTAAAGTCTGACGCACAATAGTGATGTGAACATGTCAAAGTCATGGGAATCCATCCTCTGAGGACCATGAATATTTGCGCAAAATTTCATAGAAATCCATCAAACAGTTGTCAAGGTGTTTCAGTTGGCCTCTATCCTGCCTCAAATGTTTTTTTGAAGAAATGGGAGCCATTTTTGACGTTCCTTAATAAGCCCTAACTGCACAGCTCAACCTTTATCTTGTTAAAACTTAACTTGAACTGTACACTGACAGATGTTCTGGCAGGCCCTCAAGCATGGCTGTTTTTTTTCTTCTGTGTTTTTTGTTGTTTTTTTTATGGGCAGAAATGT